TTTTCTCTTCCTTTTCCCCTTCATGATCCTCTCTATGACGACGTATCTTCCCGTTGTTGAGTACACTCCATTGGTCCAAACGTCTTCTTGTTGCGGTCATCGCTCTTCAGCTGGTTTCTTTGAAGGAGCTTGTCCACGGCCTGCCAGTTAATGCATTCCACAATTTGGTTGGCCGTTTTATGCATTTTCTGCGTGCATGTAAGCGAGTGAAAACGATGCAGGAAGGAGAGTGGAGGTGGTCACAACTTTTTCTGTGGAAATAAACTTGCGTATGATCATCACAAACGTTGTATTAAAGCCAAACGGCTGCAGTACGACGGGATTCAGCCGTCGTCTTCTGGTGAGATCAACCTACGGATCTATCCTTCATAAACTTTCATGTCAAATGAAGGTGTCGTTTAGCCACTTTTATATGTTTTTGTACGACCTTTGTGAATTATTCGTGATTGAGGTGCATCCGCGTCAGTCTGTCCTATTCTTCTCAGAATTTCCTGTCACTTTGTCTCTGGCTTTTGATCAACATGCTTCTTCTTATTCCGATCTGGTGCTGGAAATTGCGGATTATTTCTGCGTGCGATTTATTTTCGAACAATTTTTTCATGAGTGTGTAAAATGCATCGAATGACTTGAACCCTCAGAAAGTGGGCTCTCCTTTTGCCCATGAAAGCTACACTTGGAGATGCCGTCCGCCCAGTCATCCTCCTTTTTGCTTCCTCCCTTTGGCAAAAGCCCGACTCTGAGATCGTTGCACAATCGCTCGAGTCCTGGCTCGAACCCAGAAGCTGGCACGGCCACGAGCACAAGACACAACCGTTGAAGAGGCAGAAGATCCGCAAATGCAGGCAACGCCCAGCAGGTCATTTCCTTGCTCCTCCGCTCGCAGGCACCCTCGAGCAGACGGAAGCATCTTCTCATCCCACCAGCTGATCCCTCTTGTTGATCGCACCTCTTTCATCTCGCTAATGGAAGGAGAAGAACCCTTCTTCTCTGACTCTACATAATCTAGCTCTAACTACCACTTATTTGTTGGTGAAGCGAAAAGTGTTGCAGGCTCTTTTGACTAAATAACACATGCAATAATTGAAATTGCTTTTACCCATTTATCTCTGACAATCCAATTTATTGGGGAGTAATTACTTTTATTGTGAAAGTAGAGAATACATTTTGTTGAATTCTACGATGAATAGATTTTGTTCACAAGTTGTTTGACCTTGTTTTCGCAACTTGGTCATGTTGGTAGGAAGACTTAGAGGAACGCATCTAGTACGGAGTCCATTGTATACATCATCATTTCCAAACTCGAGCCGTGAACGTGGTACGTTCACACGGTCCTACTCTGGAAATGATCATCCATACAACGGACTACGGGCAAGGTGCGTTTCTCTAAGTCTTTCTGTCAATATGACCAAGTTGCGAAAACAAGGTCAAACAACTTGTATAGAACGAAAGGAGACTGCGACCACATAAAAGGCCACACCATCTTGGTCTTCACACCTTCAAATAGATTTTGTTGTTTTTAACATACAATCCCACTTCACATCATCACATGTAACATTGCAAGTTAGCCTTCATCCGTACTCTACGTACTTCATTCAATTCGGCGTTTATGCATGTGGTTTGGTTTTGCTTTTCTGCATACCTGATAGTACCTAAAGCCCCTTGTACATATTCAGAGTCATGCTGCCTCCCA